GGGGGGGGGGAGTGACTGCCTCCAAGTGTGCAGTTACCTAGGTGATGCAGGTACTGGGTGGGGACTTAGCCAAGAGGAGGGAGGAGTCTGTTCCTCCTTCCCAGGGGGAACCTTACAGTAAGTATCCTGTATATCTGACTACAGTAAAGAGAATTAAGTAATTGGTTTGTGGACCTGCAGTTCCGCTATTCCGGAGCTGAGGCAGAAGAATCACCTAAACCAAGGAGTTCAAGGCCAGCCTAGGCAACAAAGCAGAACTTGTCTCCCCAAAAATAAACAAATAAAATAGAATTGGATGGGAATGGGAGGTGAGTTTTCTATTGGAGAGCTAGTAGAAAGGCGCAGACCAACTGGTGGGAAGGAAGGTTCCAGGCTGAAAGACCACGTGAGCAAGAGTCAGGTGTCTGCTAGGCCAGAGGGAAATTAGAAGAACATAGCCAGTGATATGCTGTCCCTCCCCCCCCCCACTCCTTCCTGGTGATGAGTCTGGGGTCTGTTTGTGGTGATTCTTCATAAAATGGCCTCAGACACCCAGACACCGAGAACCCAGACACCCTAAGTGGTAGAAACCCTAATAAGGGGGTGGTTGACTGACACAATGAGTGCTGTTCACAGTCCTGTCTCTCCCCCCCCCCCGACCTCCCCTCTCCAACCATCTCCATCGATGGCACCCTCAGACACAGGAGCCGGAGGACTCCCCAAGAGAGAAGGTCTCATGCTGACAAAGCTCCCAAGTCCACTAACAGCCAAGGAACTTTAAACAGCCCATCTTGGGGAGGGGCACTATTTAAACCTGACACGGAGTTGGGTCCAATAAAAAGATAATAAGGTTTTTGTGATTTTGTTGGTTTGGTGGTGTTTTTTGTTTTGTTTTGTGTTGGAAGCCAGAGTCATAAGCCCTAAGAAACATGAGCTCTCAGGACGAAAGCACTAGGTCTTGTCCTTGCCCACGGCCTGAAGCAGCAACAGCTGATTGGCCAGGTTAAGCAGCAACAGCTGATTGGCCAGGTTAAGCAGCAACAGCTGATTGGCCAGGTTAAGCAGCAACAGCTGATTGGCCAGGTTGTCTCTCTCATCTTAATTAAACCAGATATTGAGCTCAGCTATCTCTAACTGGGGCCTTCTGTTATCTATATGGCTAAAGCTGATGGTGCCTGCTGAATGCAGCTTAACACGCACATCTTGACCTTTCTTTGCCCTTTCCTGTGCAAAAACTCTGTATAAAGAAATGCACTGGATGAGAGCCTGGGCTGCTTCAGTCTCTCAGATTTCTGGTACTGCCTGTCCACCTGGTCCCAGCTTTCTCTAGAGTGTCTATGTGCTGTTTTTCAATCTCTTAGGGTCTTCCCTTGGATACAGCTTGACACAGCTGGTCTGCAGCAGTTTTGATCTAAGAAGAGCCCAAGATGGCCTTGATCTTGCTGTTCTCCAGCCTCAGGAGGCTGAGGAGGGCTGGGATTATAGGTGGATATTAAAGACTGATTAACAGCTGGGCACCAGTGAGTGACTCACACCTGTAATCCTAGCTACTCAGGAAGCTGAGATCTGAGGATCACAGTTCAAAGCCAGCCAGGCAGGAACCTGAGACTCTTATTTCCAATAAAACACCAGAAAACTGGGAGTGGTACTGTGGCCCAAGTGGTAGAGCACTCGCCTTGAGCTGAAGAACTGAGGGACAGCGCCCAGGCCCAGAGTTCAAGCCCCATTAACAACAACAATTTTTTTTAATTTTAAAAAAAGATTGATTAACTACTATTCTCTGGAAAGTGTTACAATAACCATCCATGGCACACACAAAATAAAGCAACCAGAACCAGACAGAACACTCCAGGGTTCGACAAAGGAATGGGCTCTTCTTCTTTGAAGCTGGACTTTTCTTCTGAGGAAGGTTTAGATGCTGCACAGTGCGGACCCATTATTCATGTTTCAAAATCCTTCCCATTTGTTTTCCCTTGTGTGTGTGTGTGTGTGTGTGTGTGTGTGTGTGTGTGTGTGTGTGTGTGTGTGGCTTGAACTCAGACCTGGGTTCTGAAAACTCCCTTCGTTTTTTCAGTCAAGGCTGGTGCTCTACCACTTAAACCACAGCTCTGCTTCTGACTTTTGGATGGTTATTAGAAATAAGAGTTTCATGGACTTTCCTGCCTGGGCTGGTTTTGAACTATGATTCTTAGATCTCAGCCTCCTGAGTAGCTTGGATTACAAGTATGAGTCACCAGTGCCTGGCATCATTTGATTCTTGCCATGTGCAAGAATCAAATGTGAGTCCATCGTGAGTCCTTAGACCTCTAGCCAGGGATACATTAAGACTCTAATCAAATGTCTAATGATTCACTTCTTAAAATACCTTGGACTTGACTGTGCTGCCAATTGCTAATTTTGTAATGGAAATATTTGAAGTCAAGCTGATTCTGCTGACAGAAAGAAATGCTAATCAATAAAGGAGGCCATGGCGAATCTTCCCAGGTCACATTCCCAATTTGGGAACTGTTAGGTTGGGTGTCAGGCCTTCTACTAGTTATCTTCCAGCAAAAGGATGCAAACTGGTTACCCAAAAGGAGTAAGTAATGTCTGAGAGAACACCGTAGGGAATCAAGGAACAGTGAATGGGAACCAGAGAGGAAAAGCCCATGTCTCTGGGGGGCATTGGGCTGGTGCTGTGTCTGCATGTGGTGACCAGGGTTGCTGCAGGGATCGTCCTCACCCAATCCACAGTAGCTACGTACCAGTCTGGGCCTGATGTTCACAGTGGCCCCCCGACCTTCCTGGAGGACAGATGCATCTGTACTGGTTAACTTCTTCTATACAGGTCCCACCATTGTGACAGGGCTGGCTGGCGCATGCACTGATATCTAGGAAAGAATACATTTCCAAATGTGATTTGTAGTTCTAAGGCCATCAAAACAACAATAGAGCTGGGTGCTGGTGATTCACACCTGTACTGAATCACAGTTCAAAGTCAGCCTGCGCAGGAAAGTCTGTGAGACTCTTACATTCAATGAAATAGAAAAAAAGCCAGAAGTGGGGTGTGTGGTTCAAGTGGTTGAGGGCCGGTCTCAAGTAAAAAAAAAAAAAAAACAAGAGAAAAGTTGAGGCCTGGAGTTTAAGTCCTAGTACTAACACATACAAAATAAAAACAAACAAATGACAAAATAAATAATGATAGGTTCTCTTTCATTACAGCTTCAGGAGTAGATAGCTGAAGAAGAACCATTCCAGTTTCCTGTCCCTCCACCCTGACCTTTCTACCTCTCTACCAGCAAGAGCTGCAAGGGGATGGAGATAAAGTCCCATAGCTTCTCCATCCAGCAAACCCTGGACCTGGCACATACTGTGCCCACCTGGAATTCTGATGAGGGCACCTTGAACCCCAGCATTCATGCTCCACCCCAGAGGCTCTGGTGTATCTAGACAGCTGTAACCAGGCAAGGGTGTCTGCCTTGCTCACTGCCTCTGTGTGTGTGTGTGTGTGTGTGTGTGTGTGTGTGTGTGTGTTTGTATGTGTGTGCTTGTGTGCATGTACGTATGTGTGCTGATACTGGAGCTTGAACTTAGGGCCTCAAGCTGTTGCTTGGTTTTTTTGCTCAAGGTTGGTGTTCTACCACTTGAGCCACAGATCTATTTCCAGGTTTTTTTGTTTTTGTTTTGGAAATAAGAGTCTCACAGGAGAGTTACAAAGAGAAGGATGGCCTATTGAAATATGTAGAGATAGGGAAAATTTGTTCTCCAAATTCACCGCCAGCAGCCCTCCTGGGCTCTACCATGTAGGGGCTGGTTAACATTCTTTTAATGTTGGTAAAGGGAGCTGGTCCTTGCTCATATATACACCATGTACAGAGGGAGAATGTTTAAAACCCTATAAATACTTCACTGAGTCCTAGGCATACAGATGAATTTTCTTTGCTTTTGTATACTTTTTTTGTTTTGTGTCTTCCCATTTTCCTGCAAACATTTATAAAATTTATAAATAGAAAAAAGATGATTTTTAGCCAAACAATGGCTTCTCATGCCTGCAATCTTAGCTACTCAAGAAGATGAGATTTAAAGATCTTGGCTCAAAGCTTGCCCAGGCAGGAAAATCCATGAGACTCTTATTTCTAATTAACCAGCAAAAAGCTGGGAATGGAAGTATGCCTCAAGTGGTAGAGTGCCACCTTGAGTGAAAAACCTAAGGAACAGCACCCAAGCCCTGAGTTCAAACCTCAGTATTGGCACACACACACAAAAAAAGTAAAGCAAAGAAAAAGATGATTTTGTAAAACCCTTGTGTTATATGCTTGTTTCAAATTTCCTAAGCGCAGTGTTCATATAAACACAGGCCGTTTCCATGAGAGAGAGAGAGACGGTGTGGCAGCTCACAGATTTGCTGGCAGCATTTGGGGAGAGAAGCCAGGAGAATCTCTCAGCGTCAGAGCTCATTTCCAGTTGTATTACTCGAGAGAGAAAGCAGGTGCTTCATTCCTAGTGAGAACTGTAGCCTAGTTCTGGGTGGACTGGCAGAGACTTTGGCTTCCCTCAAGCCTCCTGGAGACTGAGATGTCATAGAGGTTAGATGGTTTCTATTTCATCTGGAAGGATCCATAGCGACTCATCCCACAGGAAGGAGCTCTTTCCATTTCTCTGCACCCTCCACCTGAGCCATTATGGTTTCAGGTGACTGGTTTCCAGGAATGGGTGTGAATGACACCACATAGGTATTGTTCTCATTACCCGTGATCCAGCCTCGGTGCTGTTCAGAAGCATCTTCTACAAGCAGGCAGCTCACCAGGCCATGGAGTCGTGGGAGAGAGCCAGAAAGTGTGGGACACTGATACCTTCAGCTTGGCCCTGGTGGCCCCAGGCCATTGTCTCTCCTTTGGGGGACTGCAGTGGAGGACACTGAGCCTGGGATGCACCTGGCTCCTGTGGGAGGCGTCTGGTGTCATCAGCTTGGGAGAGATCCACATAGAGGTGCCAGGACTGGTCTGCCTAGGAGATTCATTTATTGACAGGCTCCAGACAGACTCTCCGGATTTCTTATCTTGATGCACAGTGTCAGCATTTGATGGCCCAGGGCCCTTTCTGGTGCCCAGTCTGAGTCCTGACTAAATGAAATACAGTTGACATTGCATTCAACTGTGTCCCAGGCTATGGCATTTAGTCAAGAGCACAGCAACATGAGAGCTACTACAAAGGGAGCACAGAGAGAGGCTGGCAAACCAAGACACAGCCTTATTTCCATTTACTCTTAAATAAGCACTTCCCATTGCCATTAAGTGAGGTTAAGGATTATGGGCATCGTCTAACTCTTGCCCTATCTATCTAACTATTTATCTATCTATCTATTTGTCTGCCAGTCTGTCTGTCTGTCTGTCTGTCTATCTGTCTCTCTATCCAGTGTGTTGGTACTGAAACTTGACCTCAGAGCCTTGTGCTCTTGCTAGGCTTTTCCTGCTCAGGGCTGGTGCTCTACCACTTGAGCCATGCCTCCACTTCCAGCTTTTTGCTGATTAATCGCAGATAAGAGTCTCTTGGATTTGTTTGCCCCAGCTGTTTCCCATTCCAACTGGAGAATAACTTGCCAAGCCCTCAGTCAAGTGTCATCCACCCTACATTTATACAGCCTCTGGTGTTCTGTCTCTGCAAGCTCTTCTTGTCTCCTTTTTACTCCATCTTCCATCTGACCTCCTTGTCCTTAGAGTCTCTGTCCTGAGCCACTCTTACCTTCTCTCAGTGTTCATGGAGTTAAACACTATCTGATGTTTCTCACTCTACTGTATAATCTCAGCTCCTTCTCCCTGAACCCCAGCCTGTACCACTGTCACCTGCCATTCCTAGGTTAAACAAATGGATCCCCAATGCAATACTGAACTGATGTTTTAAATCAGTAGGTCCAAATAGGATTATGGCTAATGACCCCACACAGAGCCCTGCCTGTGATGGCTCAAGCTTATAATCCTAGCTACTTGAGAGGCAAGGATCAGAGGATCATGGGTTGAGGCCAGCCCAAACATAAAAGTTCATGGAACTTCATGTCAGTCAATGGCTGGATATGGTGGCTTAACTGTCATCCCCAGAAGCTTAGGGAAACACAAGTAGGAAGATCACAACCCAGGCTGGCCTGGCCATAAAGTGAGACCCTACCTTGAAAAGACCAATATGAAAAAGGGGAGGGGCTAGACACTTGGAGCTCCTGCTGCATGGTCATGTCAAAGGCCTTTATTCCTCTCCAGTCAAAGGGACAAGCCCTTTGGCATGGGTCCTCCTATTCAGAAAGCTTTGCATCTTAAAAGCATGCCCTTTAGAGAAAGAACAATGGGAAACTCATTCAGGGAGCAAAGGATTGCTGTCCACCCTGGAGTGCAGGAGCCCACCTCAGCCTGCTATGTTTATAATGGCACAAGTATCTGTGATTGCTTCTATGCCAAACCAGGCTTATCATTTACTTTCTAAGCAGTTGTCTTGAGAGGAGAGGGAGAGAGGTTATTAAACTGTTGCCATGTTGTCTTACTGACACTGACTTTGTTGGGTTTTGAGGTGAACCCCTGTAATTAAGATTATTTCTCAGCTGGGCACCTGTGGGTCATGCCTGTAATCCTAGCTACCTGGGAGCCTGAGATCTGAGGATCACCATGTGAAGTACGCCTGGGCAAGCTTTTATCTCTAATAAATTACCCAGAAAAAGGCAGAAGTGGTACTGTGGCCCAAGAGGTAGAGTGCTAGCCTTGAGCACAAAAGCTCAGGGACAGGGGGCTGGGAAGGTGGCTCAGTGGTAGAGCACTTGCCTTACATGCTCGAAGCCCTGGGTTCGATTCCTCAGCACCACATAAGAAAAAAAAAGCCGGAAGTGGTGCTGTGGTTCAAGTGGTAGAGTGCTAGCCTTGAGCTGAAGAGCTGAGGGACAGCGCCCAGGCCCAGAGTTCAGGCCCCATGACCAGACCCCCCCCCCAAAAAAAAGAAAAAGACACTTGAGAAATTTCCTCTACCCAGAGGAGAGCAGCAGCCTCACACTACAGCCCCAGAACACAGCAGCCACTAGGACTCCTTGCAGCACTTTTCTCTTGTCCCACTCGTCAGCCCTAGGGTAGTGTCTTGCGTGAGATCCAGTCACTGTAGTCCTAAATGAAGTACAGCAGAGTCTCTGGGGTCAGCATATCCACAAACTACCACTTGCTGTGTGACCTTGTATATGTTCCTTAACCTCTCTGTGCATAATTTTTTCCTACATGCAAAATAAGAGTATCTAGTTGGAACTGGTTAGCAAATCCAAGCAGATGGACAGCAATCCAGGCTTGGCAGAGAAGTGAGGAATCAAGCACATTCCCCCGCTTTATGTTTAAGGAAGGATTCAAGTATCAGGCACACAGTGGTTCCAAGATGACACTTTGTATCCTCCAGCCCCCTTGCCCTGCTGTGGGGGAGGAGGGTCTGCCTGGTAGGTGGAAAGAAGGGGTGATACCTCTGCAGTGGGGCTGCTCCCCTGTCCAGGTCCCGTTGGGAAGACACACCACACTGCTGAGCCCTTCCAGGCGGAAGCCGGCATTGCAGGTAAAATGGACTTCATGATCCACTAGGTACTTGCTTCCAAACTTTCTACCATCCGAAGGAGCATTCAGAGCAGGGCAGGAAACTGGAAGGAGAAAAGGGAAGATAAGGAGGAGCCCCTGCTGGGAACCAACACCCTCTATGGCAGGCCTGCTGCCACTGTGTGGGGCACTCTAGACACAGCTCCTCATCCAATTGTCAATGTTCTTGGGGAGAGGGAGTGGTTCAGGTACAGTAGCTAGGCCCTGAGTTCAGGCCCCAGGACCAGCATGGAGAGACAGGGAGAGAGGGAATGGGAGACAGCCAGATAGAGATGACAAGCAGCAGGCACATTTTAACTGTCTCTCTTCTCTTTCTGTCTGTCTGTCTCTCTGTCTCTGTCTCTTTCTCTGTCTCTCTGTCTTTCTGTCTTTCTGTCTGTCTCTGTCTCTGTCTGTCTGTCTGTCTGTCTGTCTCTCTCTCTCTCTCTCTCTCTCTCACACACACACACACACAATAAACACACACACACACCAGCGTTAAACCATGGACCTTAGGTAAGGATGGTCCTGGAGTCTTAGCACATAGCAGGTTGGGAGGGAATCAGAGATAGTTGTTTGGTCTTTGTCCTATGACTGTGACAATGCTGCTGTGGGGGCCCACCTGGAGCGCTGTCCGGGGCCACCTTGCTCACAGAGTTGTGCAGCTCAGCCAGCCGACTCTTCATATTGTGGATGCCCTCGGCAAAGCGAGTCTCATGGGCCTTCAGCAGCTGCTCCAGCTGGCGGATGGCAGTGAGGAGCTGCTGCCTGTTCAGACAGTTCTGGGGAGAGGAGAGACCACCACTCATCGGGTCTGGCTCACGCCCACCCTGCGCTTCCAGAAGCTCCCGAAACTACAGGGCCCAAACCACCCCAGCAACTCACTAAGCGCCTAGCTGGGCAACATCTGCTCCAACAGGCCAACAGATGACAGCCCCAAGCACAGGTATCATGGCTCTAGTCCACCCCTCGAGAAATAAAACGAGGACACGGTGACTATCTGACAGAGTGGCTAAGCAGTTATCTGAGCCCACAGTTCCTTATAATCATGTCTCTTACTGCAGACATACTCTCCCATTCTGTGAACATCCCAGAACCTGGGCCTTGGTAAACTCCTCTCTGTCTTGAAAATCATCTTGAAAAGCAAGGTGATGGGGAGACAAGTAAAACAGGATCACACAGTGGTTCCTATATGTAAGAGTTTATGTAACAGGGAAAACAAGAAAGAAAAATAGCTCGAGTATTCATTAAAAAAAAAAAAAAGCAATGCCCAAGCCCAGCACTGGTGGTTCACACCTGTAATCCTAGCTACTCAGGAGGCTGAGATCTAGAATCACAGATCAAAGCCAGCCTGGGCAGGAAAAGTCCGTGAGACTCTTATCTCCAATAAACTACTCAGAAAACTGGAAGTGGCACTGTGGCTCAAGTTGTAGAGCGCTAGCCTTGAGCTGAAGAACTGAGGGACAGCGCGCAGGCCCAGAGTTCAAGCCTTACCACCAACCCTCCCCTCCCCCACACAAAAAAAAAATCAATGCCCAGCTATGATGCTTCAAAAGCCATAAAGGGTGCAGGGGTTGTGCTAATAGTTGGCAAAGGGTAACTTTGAGCAACTTAAGCTCCACATGTAAACTTTCCAATCTCAATTGTTTTTTAAGAGCTTGGACATGATCTCATAAGTTTATGGTAATTATAAATTGACTTGTTGAATTGAACCCCCATTGCACAACTACTTTTTTTTTTTTGATCAGTCGTGGGGCTTGAACTCTCAGCCTGGGCGCTGTCCCTCAGCTCCTCAGCTCAAGGCTAGCACTCTACCATTTGAGCCACAGCGCCACTTCTGGTTTTCTAGTGGTTTATTGGAGATAAGAGTCTCATGGACATTTCTGCTCAGGCAGGCATTGAACCATGATCCTCAGATCTCAGCCTCCTGAGTAGCTATTACAGGCATAAGCCACCAGTGCCCAGCTTGCACAACTACTTAAAAGAAAAAAATTTTAAGAGGCAGAACATGAAAGGATAAAGGAGGTGGTGTCTATAGGGGAGAATCTTGACCTTGTGGCATGGGCAGGTCTTGCAAGGTAATTCACATTCAACTTGGGACCAGGCCTGGACTCATCTACTCATCTGGCCTGACTCTACCTGCAGGGAAGTAGGTGCTACATCATGATGCTGACCTTTGGGGATAACCTGGTGACTTTCTTTTTCTTTCTTTCTTTCTTTCCTTCCTCCTTTCTTTCTTTTTTTCTTTCTTTCCTTTTTTCTTTCTTCCTTCCTTTCTTTGTCATGTGGCTTGAACTCAAGTCCTGGGAGCTGTCCCTGAGCTCTTCAGCTCAAGGCTAGCACTCTATCACTTTAAGCCACAGCACTACTTCTTATTTTCTGGTGGTTCATTGGAGATAAGAATCTCAGGGACTTTCCTGCCCAAGCTGGCTTTGAACTATGATCCTCAGATCTCAGCTACATGTGTAGCTAGGATTATAGACCTGAACCACCTGTGCCTGGCTTATTTATTTAATATATATTTTTTGTAGGTACTAGGGTTTGAACTCAGGGTGTTGTTACATTCTTGCTCAGCTTTTTCACTCATGGTTGGCCCTACCACCTGAATCATGCTTTCATTTCCAGCTCTTTGCTTGTTATTTAGAGAAAAGAAGCTTTTGGGTTTTTCTGGCCCAGATGGCTCCAAATCTTGATTCTCAGATTGCAGCCTCCTGAGTAGCTAGGATTCTAAGTGTGAGCCACCCAGTGCCTGCCTTTTATTTTGTTTTTATATTAAATTTGAATGTTAGGGTTGGGAATTTAAAAAAAAAAGTGGTCTCAAAGCCAGTGGGATGGCTGGGGTATGTGAACTCTGCCACTGGGTAGCTTCCAACCCTGCCAGAGAAGCATCACCACCACTGTGGTAGAAAAGAGCCATAGTCACTCTCCCAAGGAGGCTGCCAGACCGCTGCACCTTGGAGTGCTCACCAAACCGATGATTCACTGGCCAGATTCAATGGGTGCTTTTGACAAAGTCAGATTCCCAGTTCTCCCTGGAACTCATTAATCCACAGGGCTCCCTGGCCTCCACCATACCCAACCCCAACCACAACTGCCACGAAGAAGTTGTTTGTATTCCTTCTTTCACTCCATCCCCTTCCCCCCACTGGAGACCTTCCCACACAGGTCCTGGGAGTCTGTGGGTAGTGACCTGCAAGCAATCCCCTATCTGCCCAGCCTGACTGCATGGCCTACCCTCCCAGTCCTGAGTTTCCACATCCACATCCCTCCCTCACAAAAGGGCAAAAGCTGCTTTACAGAAGACACAATGGTTTATGCACATTGCAACTATGAAATACTTCCCCATTACAAAGACCTATTTTGCTTTGTCAAAGACAACTTCAGCCACTGGCTGGCAGCAGCCCTGTGAGGAAGAAGGCCTCCATTTGTGATCAGTGCTATGATGATATTTGTCCCCATCCACACATGGGAAGAAGGCTGAAAAGCCAGCCAAATTTGAACCCAAATCCTGCAGCCAGGAATGGCAGAGCCGAATTAGCACTGACTTCCAAACCTACCTGCTGCTTGGATCTACCACTCGTTGGCCTCCATCCCTGTGTGGTGAACAGACTTACTGACTGAACCAAACTATCTCACGGAGATATCTGATCCCTGGGAAAATCTGAAGTTGGGCAGTGGGGACAGGAAGTTAGCAGCTTCCTGGCTCTCACAGCTAGAAGAGGGCTGGCTGGGCAGAAGCTACCCTCAGGGAAGCAGAAGGGCTCAGCGTTGAAGCAGGAAACATCCATGCCAAAGGCTCTGCTGGGAAGGGCAAACACTGCTCAGAATCTGGGATGATGACCTGGGACTCCAATGTGGGATTCCAGGAAATAAAGGAGGGGGGTGCACATATGTGGAGGCCAAGGATCCCATCTCCCCTAAGCCACTGGACAGCCAAGTATAACCTTTCAGTGTCACTGGTTTGGGGCACAGGCCTGTGTTTCTGGGGCCACTTCTGGCCCCAAGAGTGTCAAGACCAGCTGCTTTCCCTCAGATGGTCATTAGTGGTGAGACAGGCTCATGTTGCCAGTTGCAATTGAAAGAACTTCCAAACCTTCATGGCCAAGCAAAACAAGTCTGCGCCCCAGAACAAAAGAGAGACAGGAAGGTTGCTGGAGACTTGCTGAGGGAGCTTGGGGCCTTGACCAGCCCTGAGTCCAGCCTTTCTGGGGTGGTGCTAACAAAACAAAAGTGTGGTAGAAAGGAGATGTCTGGTTATCTCAGCCAGTATGCCAGCATCAGAGGCCGGTGGGAAGTGGACAGAATGAATAGCTTCCACAGGGGGTCTGAGGGCCTGTATTGAAATTGCTCCTACCAGGGCAGGGCCTTGGTCCCAAACTGCTAGAACTGAAGCCCATGGGAACCGTGCCCAAAATCTGCTGCTATGCCCAGCACAGGCCCAGGCACAACTGAGTCCATCTCAGAGTGGGATAACTAGGGGGACCTCTAACAGGCCAAGTCAAGTACCCAAGAAGCTTGCATTATGGATGGAGAGTGAGAAACCCAAATGTTTCACCTTTTCAAGTGGTGACTGTTTTATCATCTTCAAGTTCAGCAAAATGAAACACCGGGAAGTGGGTATTCAAAATGGGTGGAGCTGCGTTAAGGGGAAAGGAGTAAATGAATAAAGAAGAGAAGAGGGGAAAATATACGTAAGAACATATATTTGGGAAGTGGTGCTATGGCTCAAGTAGTAGGGCACTGACCTTGAGCTGAAGAGCTGAGGGACAGCGCCCAAGCCCAGAGTTCAAGCCCCATGACCGACCAAAAAAAAAAAAAAAAAGAACAGGGCTGGGAAGGTGGCTCAGTGGTAGAGTGCTTGCCTTGCATGCCTGAGGCCCTGGGTTCGATTCCTCAGCACCACATAAACAAAAAGAAAAAAGCCGGAAGTGGGGCTGTGGCTCAAGTGGTAGAGCGCTAGCCTTGAGCTGAAGAGCTGAGGGACTGCGCCCAGGTCCAGACCTCAAAAAAAAAAAAAGAACATATTTGTATATCCTACAAAATTAATAAGAGAGAAGGAGTGGGTAGAGAAGGGACAGGTGAAAATGTTGAAAGGGGTGATATTGATCAAGATATATTGTATTCAGGGCTGGGAATGTGGCTTAGTGGTAGAGCGCTTGCCTAGCATGCATGAAGCCCTGGGTTCAATTCCTCAGTACCACATAAACAGAAAAAGCCAGAAGTGGTACTGTGGTTTAAGTGGTAAAGTACTAGCTTCAAACAAAAAGAAGCTCAATGACAGTGCTCAGGCCCTGAGTTCAAGCCCTGGGACTGGCACATGCACAGTGGAGACTCATCTTGGTGTGTGTGTGTGTGTGTGTGTGTGTGTGTGTGTTCCAGTCCTAAGGCTTGAACTCAGGGCCTGGGTGCTATCCTTGAGCTTTTTTTTTTCTTTTTTGTTCGGTCTTGGGGCTTGAACTCTGGGTCTGGGCACTGTCCCTCAACTCTTCAGCTCAAGGTTAGTGCTCTACCTTTTGAGCCACAGCACCACTTCCAGTTTTCGAGTGGTTTATTGGAGATAAGAGTCTCACAGATGGGGCTGGGAAGGTGGCTTAGTGGTAGAGTGCTTGCCTTGCATGCATGAGGCCCTGGGTTCGATTTCTCAGCACCACATAAGCAGAAAAAGCCGGAAGTGGGGCTGAGGCTCAAGTGGTAGAGCGCTAGTCTACAGCTGAAGAGCTGAGAGACAGCACCCAGACCCAGAGTTCAGGCCCCATGATCGACAAAAAAAAAAGAGTCTCACAGACTTTTCCTCCCCAGGCTGGCTTTG